CCCTACCTCCCGTCGCCTCCTCACTCAACCTTCTTCTCCGATTCACTTCCCTCTGCTATACTGGAGCCATAACCTACGGTCTTTGCCGACATTGGAGCTGAAAACCCTAAAATAAGGTAAGTCGTACACCTATAATCTGGTATTCCCTCCAACGATAGTCACCAAATTTGTTTTGATCTTTTTTGTCGAATTCTTCTTGACCTCTTCTTTGCATGCGTCTACCTCACTGCTCAGATCCCCCCAAAGAGGTCAGGGTTACATTTCTGAATCCATTGAAGTCACAATTCATTGGTTTGTTGTTATTCTTTTTAATTTACTATCTGTAAAGGCTTGCTTCCAGAAAGGGCTGAACCAGAAAGGGTTCAACCAATTCCTTAATTCGTTGAATGTGACCTGAGAGCAACAAAAATGAACAATTTTTTTCTAAAGTCAACTCAATACTCCTTCCATCCTTTTTTAAATATATTTAAAAAAATATTAATCTTAATACGTTTTTTTTATCACAATATTTTGGTACAGACCTTTGTTGCTTGTGTACTTCACTCACTTTCAGAATATGGCCAACACTAAACAGAATGCGCAGGCTGGAGGTGCAATCCAAAAACCAATTCTCCGATCCTCTCCAAGGCACAAGAAACCTGAAGGTCTTTCAGATCGTAATGAACTGCAATGTCATAGTTCCCCAAAACCCGAGCTCCGAAAATCTCCCAGGCTTAAAAGAAAAGATCGGCCGAGCACTTTGACAGTGGTGCAGGCATTGAGTGGCTCAAGGTCAAAGAATGTGCAAAGCCATTCTACTCCCTTGCCCGTCACCCCAAAGCTAAAGCCTATATCTGACAATGTACAAAAACAGATCAAGCAGAAGAGAAAGCGGGAAGAAGTCGAAAGTGAAAGTGTCGCCAAGCCTTCTAGGGGTGGGTTGAAACTCCGAAAACGTGGATGTGTTTCAATGCACCGCGTTGTGAAACGTAAGATAAATGGACAGAAACCAACGGTTTTGTTTAATGATAAGGGACAACCGTATGGCGTGGCTGCTGCAGAGATGCAATCTTATATTGGAGTATTGGCAAGGATAAAAGCTCCAATATGGTTTGACACTTGGAGGCAAGTTCCGGTAACCATCAAGAACAAGATTTGGAAATCTGTCACGGTAAATATAACCATACTAACACTTGACTAGTGCTTACAAAATAAATAACTTGATCATTAATTATATACCTGTGTTTTCCAACTGACTTAGTCTAGTAAATTCCAACCATGTTTATGCATATAGTTGGGGTTCGACCTACCCTTTTCTGCACAAAAACTTGTGCTGCAGTCGGCTAATTCGAAGTGGAAACAATTCAAGAGTACCCTGACATGTAAATATATTCTCCCCTTTCGAGATGAACCTGAGAGGCTGAGGAATCCACCAGAGGACTTCTCTTTCTTGGAGAAGAATCATTGGGATATTTTTGTTGCTGATCGTCTAAGCCCTGAGTTCTTGGTAAGACTATGTTTCCATTGTACTTTATTTAAAATACTGTCCTTTTTTTTGAATCATTGGGACTTCTCTTTTTGATGAACTGTCCTTTTTTTTGCAGAAAGTCCATGATGAGCATGTGAAGAGAGTTAAGGAAAACAAATATCCTCATCGCTTGTCCCGAAAAGGCTATGCAAACCTGGAA